TCATTCATCTGCGAATATTCTTTCAGTGTTATCGTCCTCGTCCTCAGAATGCTGATGTCTCTTTGACAAACAGAACCCGATTAACGCGACTATGGTCGAGGCAAAAGCGACGATGCGCCGTATCGGACTGGCTCTGATCGACGAGAAACGGCGCGCGATTGAGGAAGAGGAGGCGGCAGCGCGTGCGCGAGGCCTGAGTGAGAAATCCCCATGCTCGCCGACGCTGGAGGAGGCGATGGCGTCGCGGACGGCGGGGCGGGATATCCTGAGTGTCTTGAGTACGTTCGAGTTCTCCTTATCGTCTTGCGAGAGGTGTTGCTGACGAAGAATTTTTAATTAGTTCGCTCGAACATGTCCTCCGTCCCATCGCAGCGCATGTCTGTCGAGGAGGTGCTCTGCCAGATCTCGACGTTCCTCGCGGCGGGGCACGAGACGATCGCGTCGTCGCTCACGTGGTGCCTCTACGCGCTCGCCCGCGATCCGCAGGTGCAAGCCCGGCTACGCGAGGCGCTACGTGGCGTCGCGGCCTCCTCCAGGTCCTCCTCGCACTCCCATTCTTCCCCATATTCTCCCTTGTACCCCTCCTCACCCTACTCTCCGACCTCACCAGCACCCCCAATAGCAAACGACGACGCACAAGACCTCACCTCTCTCATCTCGCAATGTACGTACCTCGACTGGGTTGTACGCGAGAGCCTGCGGCTGTACGCGCCCGTGACGACGACGATGCGCATGTGCGGCCGCGAGCGCGACGAGGTGCCGCTCAGCGTTGCGGGCGAGGGATATGTGGATAAGAGCGGGGAGCGTCGATGGAGCGTGCCCGTGCGCAGGGGCGATTTGGTCGCGATTCCGATCCAGGCGGTGAATAGGAGCGAGCGGCTCTGGGGGGCGGATGCAGGTGTCTTCAGGTGGGTCTCTTCGTGTTATTTCGTTCATTTCGACTTTTTCCTTTCTTTCGTTGCCTTTGCGTTCCGATTCCGATTGCGTTGCGTTTTGGTTTGGTTTCGATTTCGACTTCGACTTCGGTTTCGGTTTCATTTGGCTTCGTTGGCTTTTCGCTTGGTTGGAGAGCTTGGCTGGGAGCTTTCTGTTCGTTTCGGTTTCGAGCTCGTATCCTTCGTCGCGACTCTATCCAGCCTTGGACGGAGCTGTGCTATCTTCCGCCTGTTCCGTTTTGTCTTCCTGCGAGAGAGTACAGATCCAGCGCGCTGGGACCCTATGGGATCTTTCACTCAGCATCTTTTCATTACGACCGTTTCTAATCTCCCGCGGATCCTCTATTCCCCTCCATCCCAGCCCTTCATTTCCTTCTGGGTTTGTGGAGGCCTTCGTTCGCCCAGGGAGGGCCAGGAGTCAAGACGACTCCGAGTCGGACTCGGAGAGGCCCGTGGGTCTCTCTCACCACCAGCTCAGTCGCGGGCCTATTCCACAATCACACTCGTAATGCCCACTTCCCCTTCTCCCACACTTCGCTGATGAACGGGAGGATGGGAAAGATGGGGAAGAGGTGGAAGTCTGAAGAATCAGAGGAATTTTACCCTGGTTCTGGGGTTCTGACGCCCAAGCGTCCTTGATGGGTTGATTGTGTCCAAGCATCACGAATGGATGCGATGGATGGCATATCAAGTCAGCGGCCCCATCGATTCCATCATACCGCGTAGGCCCAACGGTGCAGTTCCGTCCTCCCACCTACTGCTGCTGCATCGCGAAGACGGCCCGCCAAGATGCAGATTCGTCTCGCTTCCGGGTCCATCGATGGGTGGTCTGCGGGTTGGATGGGCTTCAGAGAAGATTCGTTCCCTCTATCTCTATGTGATCACAGCGCGACGAACCCCCTTCCCTTCCCATTCCACTTCTAATCCCTTATTCCTATTCTCGTTGTTGCCTTCCCCCGTTTTCGAAACGGCTTCTGCTTCTGCTTCTATTTATGCCTATAGTCGCCGTATGAGGAGGCCTTATTTCCCGAGAACACGGGGAATTTCGTAGTGTCGTTTCGTCATTTTGTGTCCGGTTTCGGTTTTCTCCAAGGAGCGGGCCCTTCTGAGCTCGGTACGTTAACCTTGGGTCAGGAGTTTGGTGCACTAGTGTGCTCGGGCAGGGATCTCATCGCAGGACGCCGATGATGATCATTGGGTAGCAAGAGCACCCTCCTTCCAAGCTACCACCCTCTTCCTCCTTTGTCCGTTCATTCATTCATTCGTGTTCATTCCATCATCGTCATGCTACCGCTCTCAACGGTACTCGGCGCTGTTTCGCTGCCTTTTAAAAATTTGCTTTGGGCATGTCGTCATGTTAGCCTTCGGGCGTCTGGCCGACAATACCTGCGATAGCTATTTCTATTCTCCTTGCCAATAGGCTTGGTCCCTTGCCTGCATTCCCAGAGGCTGTTAAATCTGGATACATGGAGATTTCATGTGGCGCTGGCGCTCGGCGTGCTGTGCTAAAGTAAAATGCACAAGCACGCAACTGAGCACCTGTGGTCGGTGGTCCCCATCGCCACCTCCGTGTTACATACACGATCCACGATAGGTGTTCGACAAAGGCCCCCCTCGTGTTTTCGTCATCCTTGGGCTCGAAAACACGAGCGACCTTATCGCGTCCCGCTTATGACGTTTTCCAAATGCGATTCCTCGAGGACGATCGCCCTTGACTTTAATGAAAACGGGTAGAATCGCTCAGGTTCGCGCTCTCAGGTCCAGGGGAGCGCGATTTAAGCTTTTTTCGCGATTTTGTATTCTGATCTCGTTTATCTGATTTTTCTGATGTTCTCGTTCAAATCTAATCTGTGGGATTATGTTACTGACTTGCCTTTTTCATGCTGCTCTCGCCTCGCCACTTCGTGCTTTGCCGTTGCTCTTGCTCCATTCTGTCACCTGTATACGGATCCAACTCGGTGGAATGACGCCCGCGGTCGATTGATCATGTCTTGTGATCGACGACGTGGTACACTGTTCTTCCCACCCTCCACCACTGCGAACGTTGACTCGATCTCGTTGTGTCTATCATGGATGGATCGACTATATCCGCTATCATATCTATCCATTCGCTCACTAACTATCTGGTGCTATCATCCTACAAACGAATGACTATACACCCTCGGCGTCCGCTATCGCCTCTCGAATAATTCCGTCTCCCGACGTTGATTCGCGACACCACCAGACCGGAGCGCTGGGCGTCTCCTCCCCAAGATGCACGGGCGATTCCAGGACTGTATTCGAATACGTTGACGTTCCTGAACGGCAACCCCCTCGGCGGTAATAGGTCGTGCATTGGATACAAGTTCGCACTCATCGAGTGAGTCAGTTCCTTCTTAATCTTTTCCTTCTCTGGACGAGGGAGCAGCTCGCAACCCCCCCTTCACGGTATGCATTGCTCTATCGAGCTGCGTCGTCCGAGCTTGTTCAGCACTTTGCCGTTCGTTATGCACTGTGGACGCCCATTGCTTTTTGTTCTCCCAACCACTTTTGTTTTCCGCGATCTCGTGTACACGCGCTCGTCGCGATCAACCGACGCTTCTTCATTTTCGAGTTACCAGGTTTATCTTCGCGGGTTCATTTCTTTTGTCATGGCCTCGCTTTTCATTTTGGAGGCGTGGGTACTGGGACTGTATCCCGGTTCACTCTCTCCATACTCGCCTTCATTGTAATTTGCCTTGCAGGTGGCCTTGCAAAGCTGGATGCACTGTGGGTGTGAGAAAGGATAACACGGGGTTATTGTTTTCTCGTCCATGATTACGGCTTCCCACTAGTTCATCACATCAGACCGCAAGCAAAATAGGCGAATTGCTGTGCGGTGGTTGGATGAAGGGGAGCATTTGTAGTCATTTTCCTTTTATCTTTGGGCATCTCGCAATGCGCACGTGTGCAAAGTGCAGCAATGCGTTTTCTTTGTGAGATCGATGCATTGTCGCCTTGCAGTCCAGCGATTTTTCATTTTTGGCTTCATGTTGGTCGTGACTCGGGGAATGAGTCTTTTCCTTTCTGCTCAAGTGGATGCCGGCACTCCCAGGCCTTGTTCCCTAATTCCACTTTGCTTTATTCCGTTTCCAGAATGCGAGTAGCCGTGTTCTGGGAAGTTCTACTCGCCTCGAGCGCAGTGCCTGCGATTTTCTGTTGTTCTATCTCCTGCCTTCTCCCGTTCGCCTACATTCATCTACACGATGTGGAGGTATGGTGTGGGGGACTGGACCGACCCTGGGCGTGTAGCACAGGATGCTTCCGGGACGGAACCATACGCACTATTGCCATTTTGGCACATTTGCTTCCGTGCCATCGGCGACATTCATGCTTGAGCGCCGAAGGCTTGGCGACTCGGTTCGCGAGCCCAGCCGATCAACAACGGGCGCGTTCGTTTGCTTGTGTGTCCGTGTTTGCACACGCGCCTCCTTCGCTGCGGGCGCTCGTCGTCCCGCTTCCAATTCCCCAGCCTGCTGTGCGTGCTGCGGTGTACGTATTAGGCCCGGTGAATCGCGCTTCACAGAGCACAGTTGATTGTGTCCACAAGGTGCTGTGTTTAAATGTGACGTTTGGGCGCTTGATCCAGTTACACTTCATCGTGTAAGTGGATCACGGGGGCGATTGCATATCAGCCATCCGTGCTATCCCTCTTATCGTATCAAGTTCCCACCTCGTTCTGAGGCTGGGACGCTCTGGGAGGACTGTACTCCTCAGTCGGGGCGTTCGTGGTGCCCCAGGTGACTTTAACCTTCCCAAGGCGCCTTCGATTGCATTATGCAGGCGTGCGCGGAGTTTGGCCTCGAGGATGCTCGTCGGGGCATGGGATCGCTGCTCCCTATCTTGAGTGTCCATCTCCGGTTTTTCAATGGGATCTTCGGTACTTCTTGGTCTCTTCTGCATTTACCCTTTTCCCCTCTTCTTCTCGTGTTCTCTTCTCATCGCTTCGCTTGGGTGCTTTGATGTTTTCCATCCAAACTTCCCTGAAGTTACATCCTTTCCTCCTTCTACTTAAGGCTCAGTGAACCTGACTCCCTCGCCTGGACATTATGTATTCCTCTGGATCAGTTGCTAATTCCGTGGTCGCAGGATTAAAATCTTCCTCTATGTCCTCATAAAGGATATCGAGTTCACCATCGACCCCGCGATGGTTATCGAAAAGAAAGTTAAGTGAGTCAAGTTTCATGCTCCCCATCCTCATAATCGATTTCTCCCTTTGCACGAAGTATATTCTCCTCTCCTCGCCGCTTTAATTTCGGCTGTTGTAGGGGCACCCTGATTCCGTCACCGCTGCACCCTAAATCAACCTTGTCTCGTTTCCTGCCTTGCAGCCCCGTTATCCCCACCATGTTTATCCCCGCGACATTCACGGTCCGGTGCGGGCAGCCGCCGCTGCAGATACGCAGAGCACTGCCTCTCATACCCAAGTTCTCGTCCGTTCTCAGTTACAGCCGTACTGATTTCTGGCCCTCTCTAGTGTGGTCACGCGGCCGTTCGTCAAATCAGAACCACATCTCGGGAACCAGATGCCTCTCAACATTTCACGGGCTTCACACTCGGGTTCGGAGAGGGGCCGTGAGGGGTTCGCTTTTTCATCTCCCACAATATCCCCAGTACCTCGAGTCCCCCCAGCCCCAGAGCCGTAGCGAACCCCTGCATCTCAGCCAGGATCATCCCTGCACTATCTTTATCCTTCTAAGAGGGTACGCCGCGTACGAAAGATGTGTCCCCTCCCACCTCTATGGATCACCTGGTCTCGCAACCCCCACCGCACTCAACTTCGATTCAAAGTTTATCAGTCACCATCCGAAAGACCCGGGAGGGAGATGCTTTCTACCGACTCCAAACCTTGCATTCATCCTATCATCTACGAAAGCGCGGGCGTCTATCATATCTGTACTAATTCACTTGGGTAATACCTTCCGGCGTTGTTTTCCTTCATACACGCAGAGCACCATGTTTGTAAAATTACTTATCACCCCCTGTCGGCAAGTCTCGATTCCGTTGATGTCGTACAAGGCAGTAAGATCCCAAACTTCAAAGTACGGTTTTATTATTAGCTTCCGTCGCCACACCACACTTCACACTAGATTCGATACCCATCCACCTAGAATGCTCTCCTGCTAGCGACCGCATCGTCCGTACAACTGTGTACCTATCTTTAAATTATCTATATATGCAATGTCTACTGGGGGAGATCATATTTTAAGGTCATGAACAGATACTCTGTGCAGGTGGTGGCGAGTAAATCTGTAACCGCAAGGTTCCCGATCGGAACACTAATCACAAAAATTCTGTGAGAGCTTTAGCTCGGCCCTTCTCTTGAAGCAAAATAAGGCGTCCTTCTGGGGTTCCCTTCTTCTTCCCCCTTTCGGGCCTGAATTACTCCAAAGAACCCTGTTCCGGGGCTCTCAGGCGGCTGTTTTGAGGCACATTCAGAGCCCGTTTCGTCGTTGCGTTACAGAATCGATGAATAATAATTCACAAGCTCTTCATTAGGCTTTCCTATACACAAGGAACACCGAAAAGAAACTTTCAAACTTGGTCCATTCCCGCCTTCGCAATCTAACCATTTCCGTACGCAATCTCGGTCGCGGCGTCGTTGGCTTCGAGCTGGGTTCTTCAAGGGCCTGCGATGTGCGTCACGGTGAGGATGATGTAAGAGAAGCGGCGTTGGTCCGTCTCCGCTCGTTTTCTCTCCGATCCACTTGCTTGTTGTCATTAAGAACATTGTCATAGCTCATTTTGCACGACTTATCCGCGACGCGACGGGTTCTGGCGCAGCACCAGCGTCGAGTTCACATCGAGGCGGTAATTATATGTCTATTTTTGGGAAAGCCGACAGAATGTGACATCGAGGTGACTCGTCCGCGCCAGAGAAACTAATTTTCAACCTTCACAGTCAGGAATACTGTTGTCCGTTCACATGAAATGGACGTCTCATTTGTCGAAATTATTTTTCCTAGCTCGAAAATGTCTTGTCGTAGGTCAAATTTGAGACCTTTTCATCTGCGAACAACAAAATTTCAGGATATCTGAGGGTTTTCGTCACTCACATTTATTAGATCCGCGGTGCATTAAATGTGAAAGCAGGAGGGGGCCTGACGGTGAACAGGACGGCAGCTCGGCACCGTGACCACCCGAAGCAGCCGGCGCGCCTAAAGGGTGCGCAAATTACCAACTATATCCAAAGCGCAGATCAGCGCGACCCGACGCGACAAGCGCTGACTTGTTAGCAGGTCCATATGTGTCCCAAACGCCCGTCCATATGCCTGTGCGCTGGGCTGCGTCACCGTCAGCCGTCTAGTTAACTCGAGGCGGGGCAGCAGGAAGGCTTACTAGTGTAACTGATGATCCAACGCTATGCTGGCACTTCGTCAGCTTTGCTAAATATTGCACCTTCTCCCGCTGCCCTCAGAGAGGAGTCGATAGCATCGGGTGTCAAGGTGAGTGTCCACAGACCAGTCCCGCCTGCCTTCTCTTTGGTCGCGGTGGGTGCAGGCTCGCAGTCTCGGAGGACTCGGAACGCGGACCTGATGATCAGCATCACCCACTAGCCATCATCATCATCGGCGCTAACTTCTGCTACAAACGTTGAAGCTTCGCACTACAATTGCCATCTGAGACCCAGTAAGCGGTAGGCTCTAGTCAGAGGATCAAGTGAGATCATGGGGACTACCCGCCGACCGAGCGCAGCGGTTTGGTTAGGAGCTTTGATGCTTCATATGATGATGGCCACCCGAAGCTCCTTCGAGCTCCATGGATATCTGAGTTTCAGTGCAAAATCTTCTCTAAAACCTCTATCCGAGTCCGTTTCTTCTCCGGATCCTCTCTCGCTGACAAGAACCCAACAGTTCTCGACGGGGACTTCGGCGTACAGGGACCAAGCCAGCGGCGGCGTATAGCAGCGTTCTCCACTTCTCTCTCCGAGGGTACAATATGAAAGCATACCGTAGATAAATGCGTAGTCTATCTAAGCGCGCGCGCCTGCGGTTCTCCTCGTGAATAACCCCTACAAAGTGCATATTAACGAGACGAAGGAGGGGACTCTACTCTCATACATTGCCCCAAGCCATACAGCCTCTCGACTCGAGCGGATCGCTTCAAATAAACTAACTGGCGCCTCCAGCTTCCCTGCTGTATTGGCTCGTAATAAGGGCGGTGTTGACCACCTACTACACCGTGATCTATCAGCCGAAAATATCGCCTTGGGCTGGCCTCCGTTGAGGGCTCGAATTCGAACAAAGGACCATAAACCTTCAGCCTCTACAATTGGGAGAGGCAAGGGGCGAGGGCTACGGGTTCTCTCGTAAGTCGGTCGTGGAATAGTGACATAACGACTACATTGTCATTGTCAAGGACGACTCAACCCGTCCATTTTGCCAATCACATTGAGTTTTTCATGTTCTGACAGAAACATATACAAGAACATAACGGCACGGCTATACAGGAGATCGGTCGGTCGGTGGTGGTGGCAAGGCGAGGGCGAGGCTAGCTATCATATGTCCGTACGTACATACTGTACCTATCACGAAAGACCGTTCAATTATCAGTCGGAGAAAGCGCTGGCGCCTCCGGGCTCGCTTCTGCATTGTTCTACTCCATTGATTCCTCCATCCCGATCCCGATAGGGCCCACTGAAGCTAGAGGGCAATTATTACGAACCCTCTCCAATACACCCATTTGATTCCAGGTTTTTAATAAACCGCGATTTATATACGGAACCCTAGGCCTCTGCAGGCAGGAATCAATCGTGGTGGAAGGGAGCTTCCAAGCGGCACTTCAAACTTTACAAAAGTATAACGGCATTTGATATCGATTGCTGATGCCACCACCAGCCCGTTGTCCATATGCATCGGTTCGAGAGCTTTACATACGTACGTACTCCAAAGGATCTACGTTTCTTACGGCCGTACGGTGTGGTGCGTGTGTTTTTATCTTGGGAGGGGAGGAGGATGGGTTCTTGAAACCTTGTAGGTCGCAACCAATTAAACCCTATGCACTCCGATTCGGTCGAAGGAAGGTGAGGGAGGGCTGGAGAAGCGAGTGGGTCCACCGCGCGTGTGCGTGTGTAAAGTGTGGGAGTTCCCCACCCTCGCCGCACAAGTCGATCAAAAGCCCAAAGTTGCAAAAAGAGTCATTCACTCAACGGCAATTCTCCCGCGTTCAGGGGCGCCACCATCAAAGTGTTCCCGTTCTTTCCCTCACATTATTATTATCTCATCCCATTATTATCCCCTCTCGAATCTGAATCTGCTTATCACTTACATACCTGAAGGCCGAAGGCCACCACCAGCACATGCAAGTTCATTATAGTGAAAGCTCATCGCAAGCCAATCACCTTCCTCGCCTCTGAGCCTCGCACGCCGCCCAAAACGTGAAAAAGAATCCGGAAAGCAATAAACACCTAATTAGGCAGTTGCATGATATGCTTTCCGGTGCGCATTCTACCTGGCGGGGATGTGGGTGTTGGACCTTGGGACCTTGAGGCGCCAGCTTCTAGGTTTCGATATGCGCTTTTTTGTACGAGGTACACCAATCCTTGGCTCGTTTCGTGTGAATTGGTGCTCGATTCCACCGGGCTTGAAGGGGAGAGGGAGAAGGGAAGGAGGTCTGGTGCTGGTAAGGAACAATGGGCTCGGAGATTCGTCGCATACTCAGAACTTGGAAGGAGGGCAGAGAGAGAGCCAAAGAATCTCTTTTTTTAAACGAACAGCCAGATCGAGTGAGTACACATTAGGGCTATAATACTACACTACGTAGATACTTTCGACGAGAGGGCAGGGCAGCAGCTTGATATACCAGCGGACGTGAGCGAGCAAGGACGAATACGAAAAACAGGCAGAGTGAGCGGCGTCGAGCGATGGAGGGATGGTGGCAAGAAAGTGCACAGCAGCAATATAACAACCAAACGTTAACGAGCAAGGGGAAAGTCCAGGGGGAAGAGAGTCCAGGCACATGGCAAAAGCGTTCGAGTTCGAGGGGGGCATGAGGAAGGGCAGGGGACGTTACGAGAGCGAGATAGGGAGTAAACAAGAGCCAGGCGCGTAGGAGGTTCTCCCCGGGCGTCGTTCGCAAGGAAGGGCAGTGAGAAGGGAAGGAAAGGTAAAGAAAGAACTGTTCAGTACGAAGGGAGCGAAAAGGCGAAAGGAGCGGACACATGTGGACTTATGCACACGGGGAAAGGAAGTCATAACAAGTAACGGAAGAATAAACAAACAGAGCAGGAGGAATGGTATGGTTGCAGACAAGGTATTTGGGTGCAGCGATGATAAAAAAAAAGGAAGGGAAGCAAAAACGACCGACGTGTCCGCGCGCTTCGTGTCCGTCAAAGCAGGTGGGTGGCTGGATGGGGTGGGGTGGTACATTATACAGCGAAGATACTTAGAAAAATC